TGGGTCCAACTAAACCCATCTGTGGACTGAATTTCTGTCTTAAAAGAGCACACAGGAATTGCATCTGGAACAGTAATGTAAAATGGGGACTTGCAGGACTCTGTGAGGAGGGCGAATTAGGTCACACTTTTGGAAGTTCAGGAATTCCTAGAGTGTTTAGTACCCATTTAATACCCTCATGAAAAATATTTTTAAATGTATTTGGAAATCTGAGAAAAATGTTCTTCTGAAGAACCTTTATGATAGATTGTGAAAACTGCATTATGCCTTGAGTAACACTTAGTTTTTTAATACTTTTTTTTTTGTATTTGGAAAAATAGAAGAGTAGTTTACAATGAAAGTTACATCAGAATCCACAGAAAATGTTGAACTGTTCTTCAGCTCTTAAAAATAACTCTCTACTCCACAATTTTCCTTCTGTTCCTAGGCACATGGCTACCCATTCGCCACAGAAATCTCACCAGTGCGCTCACTGTGAGAAGACGTTCAACCGGAAGGACCACCTGAAAAACCACCTGCAGACCCACGACCCCAACAAAATGGCCTTTGGGTGTGAGGAGTGTGGGAAGAAGTACCACACCATGCTGGGCTACAAGAGGCACCTGGCCCTGCATGCGGCCAGCAGTGGCGACCTCACCTGTGGGGTCTGTGCTCTGGAGCTAGAGAGCACTGAGGTGCTGCTCGACCACCTCAAATCCCACGCTGAAGAAAAGCCCCACACGGTGACCAAGGAGAAGAAGCACCAATGTGACCACTGTGAGAGATGCTTCTACACCCGGAAGGATGTGCGTCGCCACCTGGTGGTCCACACAGGATGCAAGGACTTCCTGTGTCAGTTCTGTGCCCAGAGATTTGGGCGCAAAGACCACCTCACTCGCCATACCAAGAAGACCCACTCGCAGGAGCTGATGAGAGAGAGTCTGCAGGCCGCAGACTACCTGGGCACCTTCCATACCATCTCGCCTTCCTTTCAGCTGAAGGCTGCTGCCCTGTCTCCTTTCCCCATAGGAGCTCCTGCCCAGGATGGGCTTGCAGGTAGCATGCCGGCTGAGGTCCATGGCCTTATCCTCGGCCCCCCAGATCAAACCGCCCAACCAATGCCACAGCTGCCAGAGTCCCTTGTGCCCATGCACCCATCGGTAGCCCCGGGCTCTCCTCCTCCAATTCTTCAGAATCACAAGTACAATGCCGGTTCTACCTCATACCCGCCACTTGCAAACATGCCCCTCAAAGCAGACACTAAAGGGTTTTGCAATATCAACATGTATGAGGACTTGCCTCTGCAAGAGCCTCAGTCACCTCATAAGCTCAGTCCAGGTTTTGATATGATGAAGGCAGGTGCAGGAAAAATAAACCTGCCCAAGGAGCTGCCTCCAGATGCTGTGAACATAACAATTCCTGCCTCCCTGGACATTTCCTCTCTGTTGAGCTTCTGGCAGCTGCCACCTCCTGCTCCCCAAAATGCCTTTGGGAATAACACTATCACCCTTGGGCCTGGGGAATCTATGCCCCATAGATTAAACTGTCTGGGGCAGCAGCAGCAGGAACCCCCGATAGCCATGGGCACCGTGAGCTTGGGCCAGCTGCCCTTGCCTCCTATCCCCCATGTTTTCACAGCTGGCACCAGCACTGCTATCCTGCCTCATTTCCATCATGCATTCAGATAACTTGTTTTTTGAAAGCATATTTTTCTTATTCTGGAGGATGTCTTAGCGAGCATTTTAAACATGAGTTATAATACAAGTTAAGATTTGGGAAAAATGGGACTAGGAATATGGCTTATTCCTTGACGACTGGCTTGAGAAAAGAATTTCTCAAACTGCATGTATCGTGCCAATCTGCCCTGCGTGTTCATACTCTGTACTGCGTTGAATGGACACGTGTACTTTAATAGAACTGCAAGTATTGTTATAGCCAACATCCACCATGACAGCTGCTATATATCCATGTTTGTCATATTGAATTTAATCATAAGCCATGATCATAATCATGTTCACGAGATAACTTTTTGTGGCACTGCCTAGTAGGGGAACTATGGAAAGAGTTGGATTTCTCCAAGTCAGGAGACTTGTTCTAAAGAAGAAAATTCCCTTTATATGGTATATTACACCTAGGCCGTGTATTTCTTTTCAGGGATTTTTTTCTACCTTCAGGGTTGGACGTAGTTTAGTTACTATTACCGTAGCCAACCTTTAGTTTTGCAGAAATAATTCCTTATGGAGCAGTAGAGTCATGCATTTTAAAAACATTTAAATGTAGTTTGAATATTTTCCACATGATACGGCAATGTGAGTTATCACTTCATTTATCTTAAAGACTAAACTGGTTGTCAACTATATCTGACAGAAAAAAAAAATCACTGTGTAACCAGGTTAAGTGGTCATATAATCCAGGCATCAAAGACATTATGCTGACTTTAATACTGATTATATTTTTAGCAAGAATTTAAGAAACTATTACTGGAATTTAAATATATATATTAAACAAGAATTTGCTTTGCTATGCTAGCTTAAATTACTCAAGCTGCTTAAGTTCATAAGCATTGTTTGTAATCACCAGTATGTATGCGCATTTGTAATTCATCAGTTTAAGTCATTATTAGCTTTTATTCAAACAATTATTTTTCAATGTAACCATACCTGTATTCTATCTCTTGAATTTGATATTAATGAGTTTTTAACATGTAAAACCTAACCTTTTTTAAGTTCCTTTGTCTTTCATGTTTAGACTTTTCATAAACATATATCTTACATTCAATAAACTTTACAAATCTTGCAATATGGTTTGACTGATTTTTGGTGTACCTACACTTGCTTTACTGAGACTACTACTCCCACATTATACTTGCAACGTTTCCGGCTCCCTTACGCCCCCTCCTGGTCATTACGTCCCCCACAGAAACTGCCATTCTGATCTCTCAAAATTTTGCTTTCTGGGGGTAGAAGTTACGATTTAAAGTAGGACCTTATATGTTTCAGTTAATTCACACCACTAAGAGCTTATTTCTAAAAACACCATGTACTATTCTGAATCCTTCTATGAGGGTATTTAGTTTATTTCCTATGTCTGGATCAGAATACTGGCTACCAGAGTTCAGTCTACTCAGGGCTGCCATGAGCCAGTTCTATGACAGTGGTACTTACCATTCATTTAAAACAAATTAGAAACTTAATTAGTCCTTACTGGGATTTCTTCAGAAAGACTTATGCCCCTTCGGGCCACAGGCCTGTTTGTTTTTTGTCTTACCTTTAAGTAGGGTGGGGGTGGGCAGGGAAAGGGAAGCCTTGACTTCATTTGCTCATCCAAGAAGCCAATTGGCTAAATGGTGAGAAGCTCTGATGAGGATCACAGAGGGCACCTGGCTGTTAGTGTCACACAGACTGAGGTCCTGGAACTACTGTGGACCCAGAGAAATGAGAAGGTGACGGAGGGTACTCTGTGGACAGGAACACACTGCTCTGGGATGTCTAAGTTCCCATTTCCCCTCTTGCATCTGGGAAGGAAGGCAGAGTAGTAGCTCTCCGCAGCCAGAACCTCCCAAGATTTGCTTCCAAGAATCCTCCACATACACATTTTACTGGCTCCATACTGTCTTTGGTATCTCCAGAACACATACCTGATTTTCCTAAGATAAAATGTAGCATTTGGCATTTAATCTAAAACATAGATCATAAGAGTTTCAGATGTATTTGGTGTATCACAACAGTTCATTGGAAATTCTATTTAAATTTAAGACAGGAAAAATGGCTTGATTTTCCTAAAATTCCCTGAGTTTAAAGAAAGTAAAGTTCTTAAAAGTATAAATAACCACAAAATAAATTCAGTGGCCCCTAAAACCGCAAAGAGAAGGCACTGTGTCACCTCCCAACAAGATCCAAAGGCACTGAAATGAACAGGTGACTTCAGATTTTGTCAGGCTCAATGAATGGTATTAAGCTACTTAGAGCATTCTTCCCAGAGGGTGGGAAATTTCTGAAGCCTTTTCCCCAAAAATACAGCCTGAGTGACTGGTAGATATGAGACAATTCTATGTGAAATAGATGAACATTTAAAATAGAAGTTACTGTTAAAGTTTGGTATTAGAAGCAACTAGCAGAGCTGGGAATTCATTGCTTTTACATGGAATGAAGCCAGTCAAAAAACAATTTTCTAGTAAGTAAATTGTGGTAGCACTTCAATGATAATTTCACTGAAAAATCCTAATAACTAAACATTACCTTTAAAAGCCTATTATAAAGCAGTCACCATTGTGGCATAGTGGGTTAACCTGTTGTCTGCAACACCACCAGCATCCCATTATCAGAGCCCCAGCTGCTCCACTTTTGATCCAGCTCCCTGCTAACCCACCTTGAAAAAATGGTGGAATACAGCCCAAGTACATGGGTCCATGCAACCCATGTGGGAGATCCAGATGGAGTTCCTGGCTCCTGGCTTCAGCCTGGTCCATCCCAGGCCATCGCAGTAGATTAAAATCTCTTTGTGTGTGTCTACTTCTGTTTCTTTCACTCTGCTTTTCATACAAATAAAACCTTTCTTTTCAAAAGCCTATTAAATGGGCCGGCTTCGCGGCTCAATAGGCTAATCCTCCGCCTACAGCACCGGTACCCTGGGTTCTAGTCCCGGTCGGGGTGCCGGATTCTGTCCCAGTTGCTCCTCTTCCAGTCCAGCTCTCTGCTGTGGCCAGGGAGTGCAGTGGAGGATGGCCCAAGTGCTTGGGCCCTGCACCCGCATGGGAGACCAGGAGAAGCACCTGGCTCCTGGCTTCGGATCACTGCGGTGCGCCGGCCACAGCACGCCGGCCACATTGGCCGTTGGGGGGTGAACCAATGGCAAAGGAAGACCTTTCTCTCTGTCTCTCTCTCTCACTGTCCACTCTGCCTGTCAAAAAAAAAAAAAAAAGCCTATTAAATGTCCAATTACAAAATCTTCAGCTGAATCTTTAAGCCAAGCATTACCATACCGGTTGATGTGCTTAATGATTTTGTAGAGAGAGTAAAGGATAAGAGTTGAAGCTAGTTTTACTTGTTCTGGATGATGCCTCAAGAAGAATCAGGGCCTGTGTAAGACATCTCCCGGTCCCTCCCCTTTGGTGGCTTGCTGGGGACATAACCATGCAGGCTGGTGAGTTTCAGGAAGCCCGTCTGAAAGCAGAAAGAAAAGGTGTGGGCTGTGGCACTTCATGATTTCCACATCACATCAGCTTCTTTGGATTTTTAATTATTTTACAAATAGTTCACAATCTCACGAAATCCTCCTTTTAGGGGTGGGGGAATGTATTCAGGAGAGGGATGAGGCAGCCTTCAGGGCCAAAAGTAAGGGATCTTTTTACTTTCCTATTGCTTTTAAACTAATTATAGAGTGAGGTTCAAGAGGACACATTCCATAAACCTACTGTGGTTTGCCCAAATTTCTCTTTAGTTTGACTGTTACAGATTCACTCTTAAAGGTTCACATTAGAAGATCTGCAATACTTGAGTGGGAGCTTGAGTGGGAGGTGGTTTTTTTTTTTTTTTCTTACCTGGCCTATAGGAGTTAATCTTTTTTAGAAGATTTACTGAATCCTTGTTTGAGTTTTACTCCAGAAGCAGGATCCATAGCCAATCCTTTGCAAACATAAACAGATTTGTTATCACATTAAAGCAGAACATTTGCCAAGGAGGGAAGAAAGAAATGATTGTGAAATTCCCACATTGGATTCAGAAGTTTCAATTTTTTTTTTGTTTGTTTTTTAGTAGCTATTATAGACAAATACCCACTCTCTTGCCTGGGCCAAACAATGAGAGAAACAAGGACTGTCTCAAGTGCTTCTCCCCTCTGCCCCAGCCCTTTCTTTACCCTTGGACTTCAGCATACCACCTCAGGTGACCCCATAATTATACAACAGAATTCTCAACATTCTCAGTAAGTTGGTGTCTTTACAATTCTTTCCCAGCTCTCATACAAGAAAGGGTGTGATGAGCCCTAGGGAAGCATGAGAGGCCTTCCCTCCAAGAGTTATTTGCATCACAGTGGACCCAGGACACAGCTGTCATCTTTCCCGCAGCACTGTAGTAGGGAGATATCAGGGATTAGGAGTAGGGGTGGACCATACTATGGTCTGGTGACCACGTGGTATGGGAGGACGGGGCTCTTGGAGAAATCATTCTTTGTAAAAGAACCAGATGCCCACAGTCTTACAGGCATCCTTTCTAATCAGCATCTGGTGAAGAGGAAGAAAAAAGAAAGCTGAGTCAGACCATCCAAGGATATGGCAAGAGCTTTTAGTGTTCTTTTTACCCAAAGATACATGGGTTTTACTTCTGCCAAAGATGCAGCAACTACACTTTGATCCTCCTTGCATCTGTTACACAAATAAATTAGGTAAAAGGGAGGGGTGATGCTCGGCTACTGCAGGTAAAATGCATAATGTGAGGGGTGGGCCTTGCAGTGCATGCTCCTCCGCTACTGGCTTTAGCCCAGCCCAGCCCAGCCCAGCCCAGCTGTTGGGGCCATTTGGGAAGTGAACCAAATGGAAGAAGGGAGATCTCTCTCCTCTCCTGTCCTTTGTTCTCCCTCTCCTTTGTCTCTCCTCTCCCTTCCCCTCCTCTTCTCTTCTCTCCTTCCCCCTCTTTCTTTCTCCCTCTCTCCCCTCCCCTCCCTTCCCCTTTCTCTCTCTCTCTCTCCCTCTCTCTCTCTCTCTCTCCCCTCAACCCCATAACCCCAAAACCAACCTTACTTTCTCTCTGCCTTTCAAATAAATTTTTGAAACTTCAAAAATTTTCTGAGGAGCCAGCACTGTGGCATAGAAGATTGAGCCTCTGCCTGCAATGCTGGCATCCCACACAGGTGCCAGTTCAAGTCCTGGCTGCTCCACTTCGGATCCAGCTCCCTGCTAATGCCTAGGAAGGCAACAGAGGATGGCCCAAGTACTTGGGCCCCTGCACCCAGACCCAGAAGAAGCTCCTGGCTCCTGGATTCAACCTGGCCCAGCCCTGGACTTTATGGACATTTGAAGAGTAAAACAGTGTGTAGAAGATTTCTCTCTCTTTTCTTCTCTCTCTACCTTTCAAATAAATAAATAAACCTTTAAAAATATTTCTTAATAAATAGTTATCTAAAAAAAAAAAAAAGCTAAATTTGATAAAACCCACTGGCTCCTGAAATGGGAACAGAATCCATACTCACGATGCTGGATAATGTAATTTAGTACATACATGAAGCAGCACAGGTTTGGATCCCAGAACCACATTGTCCTAGTGATTTTAATCTCGGCAGAAAGGTGCAGGAAAAGCTGCTCCTTGGCAGTACCTTCCCAGGAAATCAGTTGCTTGTATACAAAAGGCACATATTTCCTTGAGAAAATAGCCACCAGGAACTATGGGCTGCCGAGGCCATAAGCTCATTTCCCTCTGAACATTATATCTTTGTGGGTATGTGAGAAGAGCCACACCTTTTTCTGAAGCAATTTCCTAACACATATCCATACCCTTCGTGTTTATATTTCTGGGCCCAGTGTTTCCAAACCAGACAAAACTTTGGGGACATGCTCTGCTACTTCCTATCAGGTTGCTTGTCCAAGTTGCTTAATGTCTCTTGGGCTTTCCTCATCTCATAAATAAGGATATGAATACACTTTGAACTTCTGGTGCTATGGTAAGGATTAAATAAATTCGTACCTGAAAGGCTGGAAAGAGTACATGATGTAAGAGAAGGCAAGAGCCCATGAACAAGGGACTTATTTAGGATATCAAAATAACCTAGGCAATTTCAAGAAAATAGCTGAGTGACATCCCTAGTTCATGACATCATGTTTTCAAGCAAACTCTTCTGCCATCAGGAAAAACTCAAAAATTGCTAGGTTTGAAAAACTCAGAATGTGTAACTGTATACGGATTGTGATTCTAGGATAAGAGGAAAACAAGGAAGAAAGTAGAAAAATCTGGAAAAACATATTAATGGTAACACTGGTCATTTTAGGGTGATAGAATTATGAATGATTTTTATTTTCATTACACTTTTCCCTCTTATTTCCCAATATCTTCTACAGTAAGCATGAATTTCTTGCCTAATTTTTAAGATGCTATTTCTCAAAAAGAAATTTGGGGCAGGCTAACTTAATGTGGCCAGAAACAAAAAGTTGCTAAGCTACCGTAATGGCCTGACCTGTACAGATAAGCGCCAGAGGGTTTAGCACCAGCTTCAGTCTGAGTGAGGGCCGAGCATTTCACGTAACAACTCCACCCTTACTCTACTGCCTGTCTTCCATCTCCACTTTAATCCTCTCTGCACCTCAACTTTTTCCTATGCTTTGGCTGAACAAATCGTTTGTTTCCAGACTATGTCCTCTGTCCTCTCATTTTCACATCTTTTCATTCCTTCTTCAACTTTTCTCCACTGGGCAAAGTGAGATCATTCTGAAAGCTCGCTTCTAGGAAGCATCCCCTCGCTCACACGGACACTGCCTCTGCAAAGCCTCTCGGTCAAAGCTGAGCTTTTCTTGCATTCCCCTTAGGACTTTTCTACTCTGCTGCTAAATATGAGATGTAACCGACTGTTTCTCCCCTGAGACTTTGCAGGAGCAACCAAGCTTACTAACTACATGGTCAATGAACAAAGCCCCTTGTGCATCAATGATAGGTGTTTGTCAACATCTTAGAATATCCCATACTCTCTTGTATAGGAGACTTTCCTCTGCATGCCCTAACTACTCATAAGATTTTTGAGGTCAGTGAGGCTTGGGTATGACATACACATGTATCTCTCCTGATGTGAACTTAAAACACACTTTAAACATGGGAGGTGCTAAATGTTTATTTTACTCAGGAAGGTTCAAGAAAGCAAGCCAGAGTTGTAGGAAGTTAACCACCACTTAGATAACAAACAATGGAATTTATGTGACACCACCAATGGCCATAAATTTTTAAAAAAGGGAAGTGACACCAGGTGATATAAACCACTGATTGTCGACCTAGAAATAAAGCTCAGTAACAACACTTTTTAAGAGACCCTTTGTTAGTCTGTTTCATGCTACTACAACAGAATGCCTGAGGCCAGGTAACCAATAAAGAACTGGGACTCAGTCCTCACAGTTCTGAAGGCTGAGAAGCTCCAGGTGAGGCGGCCACATCTGGAGACAGTCTTCTTGCCATGTCACCTGATGGGGAAGGTGGCAGGTAAGAGAGCACAAGCGCAAGCAGGAGAGGAAGGGGGCTCAGCCCTTCTGACTGAATCACTTCTTCAAGCTCCAACCTCTCAACGCTGTTGCCCTGGAGGTGATGTTTCCAACACATGAACTTCAAGAAAGGTTTAAACCACAGCATTCTACCACATGTCTCCAAAATGCACATCATTCTCACATACATTTTCACAGACATGTTTATTCCATCCTTGATAGCCCCAAAATCTTAATGTACTTATTTAAAAGTCCAAAGTTCAGAATCTCATCTAAATCAGATACGGGTGAGACTCCAGGCACCAGTCCTCCTGAGGCAAATTCCCCTCCAGCTTGATTCCATGAAATTAAATATTATCTATTTTCAAATTACTATGGTAGGGTAGGCATAGAGGAGACATTTCTGTTTCAAGAGAGAAGCTGGAAGAAAGGAGTAACTGGTTCCCAGTAAGTCCAAAACTCAAGAAGGAAAACAATATTAGACCTTAAGATGTCAAAATAATTGCCTTTGACTCCATGACCCACATCCTGGGCACACTGTAGCAGGAGCTGAACTCCCAGGACCTCAGGCAGCACTGCCTCTAAGGCTTTGCTGGGCTCAGTTCACTGAGAAGCTCACACAGCTTGAAGTCTCATGCCTGCAGCTCTCCCAGGCTGGACTAGCACAGTGGCCCTACAGCCATGGGAATGGCAGCTGTCCCACTCCCACAGCTCTCTGTGGCAGTCTCTGTGTGGGATTCTTTGAATGGCCCTGCCATTGTGACAAGTCTTTGCATGGGCCACTAGACTGTGGAAGCTGCCATAATCTCATAGCTCTTACATTCTGCATGCTTGGAAAGTCACACCGCATGGATAGGGGTAAGGTTTATGACCTGAATCTTCTAGAGCAGAAGGTTGAGTTGCACCCACTTGGGCCATGGATGGCACAGCTGAAAGAACTTTGCTGAAATGTGGAAAGCAGAGTCTAGAGGCATGGGCAGTAAATGCTGAGGTCCTATGAGCACCTGTCTGCAAACTTTTCCCTTAAGATCCTAGCTTGCCTAGAAAATCTCTGAAATGCCTTTGGGGTCATTCTCCCATTGTCTTGATGAATAGAATCTGGCTTCCTCTGTCCATATTAATATCTTTTAAAAATGGTTGCTGTGGGGAGCAACTCGGACTAGACTAAGTTACTCGAATTAAGACTTATTCTATGCATCTGCTCTCCCACAATATGGCGCTGGGAGAGGAGTAAACAGCTTCTACGCAGCTGCCTCTCGCCAACTTGAGTGATGACCTGCAGGAGCTGATCCTGCTCCTGATTGGAGGAGAGCAGCGTACTCGGCGTGTGGGTAGCAGAGTTGGGATTGGTGGAAGAGGACTATAAAGGAGGAGAGAGACAACATGCACCAGGAACATCTAAGAGGAACACCTGTGCAGCCCCCGAGAGAGCCGGCCAGCGGTGTGCCGCTC